ACACACACACACACACCCCTCCCCTAACATAGTATCATGTAACAATGCACTTACCTCTCAAGGGCGATGAGTCAGCTTTTTCTTCGAAGCACAGTGATAATTCCTGAAATACAGAGGGAGACAAACACTTTAGTTCAGGCCTACGTAAGCACAATTAAAAAAAAAAACATTCAGCAATAAATAAGCCCTTGAAATAATTTTTTTGAAAATATATTATAACTGAATTTACACCCCCCCAAAAAAAACCCAGTTGTATCCGAAGGTATCGCTAGGCTACAAACGTCAAAGGTCAGAAAAATATTCTTTGGTTGAAAAATATAACGTTGGTTTTGTTTTGTTTTTTTTTATCTAAAGAACCTGCCCGCTTCCCCTCTTCGTATACCTGAAACCTCGTGCCCTAAACCCCAAACCGCTCTCCTCTCGCATTCTATTACATTTAACAAAAGAAACCACAAAGAGAAGGTAAAGCAGAGAGGTGAAAACAAACTCTTACAAAAGAACAATTTCGCAATAACGAAACAAGGAAAAAATGAACAGAGGAAAAAAAAAACACTCGAGGAGAGACAAATAAAATGCAAATGTAGGAATAGCTCAAAGAACAGAATTTCGCGCGGTACAAACTCAGATAAGGCAGCAGATTGCGTCAGCTGTAACTTTCAATTAGTGTCCTTAAAAAAACCATTTTATTTACTGCGGTTTCAATTCGTTTAGGGTGTTACTTTACTTCGTCGTATTAGGGCGAGCCGAGACAACAAAGTGAAAATTAATGTTTAGTTAAGGAAATAACATTGGCGATATGCGCCAAGTCGAAGAAAAAGGAAATCAATGCGTTGATAAGTGTAGACACATGAGTGAATGTCTACCAAGTGTCACGTTACGGCATGTTTGTATAGGACGAGAAGTGACCAATGCTAATAGTAGAAAGAAGTAGGAAAAGCAGTCCAAAAAAGAGAGTTAGATATACGAACAGCGGTTGGCGGAAAAAGAACCCAACAAGTTAGCGTAAAGACCCAACAACGATACGGAATTGAAGAATCACACGTAGCAGGACACAGCATTTTCAGTGGGACACACAGTAGGTCATGATGAGATGTCTGTAAGTTCCGGATGTTAGGGTCCCAAGCTTACTTTTACTCTATATTGCATCATGAAAAAAAACCAATTCAGATTGTCAAGTTACGGGAGCAGAGAGCAGAAAGTAGCTGTAACATAACGGGTCAAGACTTGAGAAACACGCTGAAGGCTGAGATTCAAACCCGAGTGTGTTTTTTAATGAAAGCGTTAAAAAGCCCAGGCAGACAGCCAATTCAAAGGCATGCTAATTCTACTAGAGTACTTCCTCGGAGTTCAAAGTTTTAGTGTTTTGAGTTCGAAATCACTAGCCGTAGTGAGTTTTGAGTAAAATACAAAAGAATATTTTTATAAAGCACACTGACGTGACATCGGCAATTCCGTGAAAGGAAGAAGAAAAATAGAAGACAGAAAAATATACAAACAAAAAAAGAAGAGCATACCAGTAGCGCCCCTTAATCTCCCAACTAAGGGGCCCTCCAACTTCAACAAAAACAAGAGCTCAAAAACATAATGCACTCCAAAGAACAGACAAACCACTTTAGTGTCCTTCTCAACCACCCGCTGAGAGCTGCATCGCAAGCCGAGACACGTTAGCAGGCGACGGGCTGTAGACAAAAACCCACTTCAAAACCCCTATAAAAGCCTTAACCCGCAAGCTATGAAACATCTTAGCAAAAGTGGAGCTAAAAGCCCAAGGAATTAATTATTCAAACGATTGATCGTTTCAAGACATCAAAGCAATGTCATTGTGTTCTGGCAACGTTCTGAACAGAGATCGGACACACGATTGGTGATGACGACGGGTCCCACAAAAACCCCGTGTGGAACACACAAAAACGTCTGTCCTTTGTATGATTACATTAGCCGTACGTACGAACACGGTTCGATTGTACTGTGTAATTGAAGCAAAAACAGATCACTTGGAATAAAAGCAATTCTTTTCTTCTCGGCCCCTCTTTGGATGTTTTGTTTTTAATCGTTTGTACTTGTTTCATCTCTGATCAAAAGCCTGACGAAGCAAACTTGGTATGTTATAAAGGATCCATCGCATCTTAAAATATCTTTTTTTATCTTTGCACAAGATCTCAATTCCCCGGTCCCTACAACCCACGACGCTCATGTATTGCTACGAACAATTATCGTGTTCTTAAAAATGTTTCGTTAATTTGAATCGATACAGCTTGAAATCAAATTTTGATCAGACTTGTCAACAAAGGAATGTTGATGAAGAGACTGACTGTAAATCGATCGTAAATGCTTCAAGCCCCCATTGTCAAGTTTGTACCATCTAGAAGGCGACGTGTTTCTATTTTTCAAGACCGTAGCACTCTTCAATTTCTTGTGCATTAGGTCTGAGAGTCTTCAAAGAGTGTCTTTGAAGTCTTCATCACCATAATGAAGCATGCTTTAGGCACAGACCAACCATGGCATTTTTCTTCTAAATCACTTTTACAATAATTGCCAAGAAGACACACCACACGACTTTATTCTGCCTGCACGGACGAAGAACACTCCCACCACTTAACCGTTCAGTGCCAGAGTGATCCACTTCTTATTTCTTTAAGCGTTTAGCTTTACAAAAGCTGGTAAGTTTTGACCTGGCTTTGTCATCATAATCCGCCTAAAAGTATTTCCGTCAACGGTCGGGTTCGTTTTAGCCTAACTGTAAAGCAAGACACCGTGTGCAACTTTGAACACGACACTTGAAAGATAGGCAGGTAAGTACATTAGGGGTCAAAGACGCCGTTGTAACACTCGTGGAAAAATAGGGAGCATTCAAAACGGAGCCAAGCACATGTCCCTTCAACTACCGAGTTACACGAGTAACTTGTTTATTGGACGGACAGACAGAAGCAGCTGTGGTCTGCACCGGTCTTAAAGCCAATGTCATTCCAACGAGCCAGCAGCGAACCGCCAGCACCCAGTGCCCCTCAGGCTACATTCCCAGACAACAGTTTGGCCCCATGCAAATCTCATTTATCCCTGGTATCTGTCTCTATGGGCTCCATTCGCACCCACCCAACCGCTCGCTATATATGTCTGTCTCTCTGCCTCTCTGTCTGTCTGACTTTCTGACTGTCTGTCCGTCTCTCTCTCTCTCTCTCTCT